GCTATGAAATTCAAATTTTGGTCTCATTAGAAAATCTAGAAAAGTAACAGAGACTCTTAGTGGATATTTAAGTGAATTCTATATGCACCAAGTTTATACATCAAAACTTAAGTGTTTTAATTTATCCACACAAAGCTAGGCTGATTACGACTGACTTACTCATGAAACATTAATAAAGCATTGTGTTCACTTCTAACATGATTATAATCTGACCTCCTGACAAAGGACAGAAATAGAAAGTATCTCTGATAACATTACCCTAATGCTGGGTTCATCAATCATAATCTACTCTTTAAAAATTTGTTTAGAAGAAGGCCTTTTATGGATGTGCACTGATAATGTCATCCAACCTCAGCCTGGCAGATTCCGGGTGCTGCCGGGCCTAGTGTGGGATACTCACAGTCTGCAGGACATGCACAGGGCACTGAGGCAGAGGAAGTAGAGCCTCTGTGCGGTTTTGCTTTATCTGTATTGCATGTATTCCAAACGCTTCATATTTTAAAGAAAAAGTCTCTTTTGTGATAGGTAACAATAAGCATTTGAAGCATATTGTACTAAAAAGACACCTTGCTTAAGAAGTAATTTTAAGCAAATAGCCTAACACAATTTTTGGAAGGCTTATATAGCAATTCAAAATATTGAAGTAGATATCTGTGTTTAAGCACCTACTCTACTACCTGTTAGCCATGACAGTTTGGACAAATAAAGCACTATTATCTCTTGGTACTTTATTGTCTTCTATATTTCTAAAATTGAACATTTATTCATTCCTAAGTCTTTATTGACTACTAGCTATGAACAAGGTATTGTGGAAAACACAAAGAATAATGGGGAATGGAACCTACTCTAAATAAAGGAAGAGTAGAGAAATCCCTTCCTGCAGCTATTAAGGGCCTCTTGTGTGCTTCATGCTGCTCTGGCCTCTGGAAGGACATGACTGAGCAGTAGTGAGTGGTCCTCAGGAGCTGCAGTCTAATTAGGAGCACAGACAACCATGCCTGCCGTCCCAGACACACTGATGTCCTTTCATTCACCAGATAACTCCTGGGTGCTACAGGGGCTATTTTACATGTTCACAGCACACCATGAACAGACAAGGATCCCTGCCATCATAAGCATTTTGCCTGTTTACTCTGAGTAAAATGGAAAGTTATTGCAGTATTTTGAACAGAAGAGTGCCATGATTTTACTTATGTTATGAAAGGGTAACTCTGGCCTTGGCATTGGGAATGATCAGTAAGGGCAGAATCAGAGATCTATTAGGAACTATTGGGTTTTGTTAGAGGTGGTGGTGAATTGGAAGTGGGGAGTAATTGATTATGATATATTTTTAAGTTAGAACCTATAGTCTTTCTCTTTGACTTCCTCCCCATGACTATTTTCCCTCAGATTTCTCTAGCCTTATAGTGAAGGATGAGAGAGTTGTGATGGCTACAGCAGCAGAAGTAAATTGACTACACTTTATTAAGTGCTGCTAGGATAAGGGGTGGTGGTTAGTGCCTTTTGTCAACTTGGAGCTTTAGCAGAAAGTCTAAGCAACTGGAAAAAACAATCAACATGTTTATCTCCATTAGACTGTAGTCTTTTTGAAGATATGGAATGGTTATTTATTTATGTATGGAATGGTTATTTATTTATGTATCCTCTAAGGCTAATACTGACATGTGTTAGTGATCAGTAATCTGGAGCAGGAGAGAGAGAGACTCTGTTCACCTTGTTTATTTGTATTTCAGTGGGATGTGCTCCCAGAAATAAGAGATTTTGTCTTGTTTAGCACAGAAGGGATTAGAATACTGCAACACTGCCTGGAACATAATTGGTGCACCACGTTGGATGAATGGATGGGCAGGTGGATCGATGTGATTGGGTGGATGGGTGTTTGCATAGGAGGGTGAATGGATGGATGAATGAAGATTCCCATTGTTTGAAATCCACTTTCCTCAGATGTCTGTAAGATTCATTTTGTACTGGAGATCCTTAATTGTCACAAATTCAAGGAACCCTTCCCTAGTTACCTCCTTAAATTAGCAGTCCTCTCTCCAGCTGTGTACATACACCTAGACTTCCCATCCTGCTGTTCTGTTTTCCATTTGTTTATTTCACCACCTCTGACATACTCTATATCTTACTAACTCTCTTAGTTTCTGTCAGTCCCCTCCCACTATAATATAAACTCTTCGGCAGGGATTTTGGGTTTTTTTGTTCACCGCCATAATCCTGCGGTTATGAATAGTGTCTGGTACATACCAGATGGTTAGTCAGAATTTGTCAAATGAATGAATGAGCTTCTTCTCCAGCCTTACCCTCACTTTCTGACATTTCTTTTATCCTTCCTCTGTGACCCTCACATTTTTCCATTGCTTATTCAACATGTATATATTTATTATACATTAACTATTCAGTGATAAATTGAGTTATGGGCAATGCAAAAATAGCATCTTCAGAAGGCTTATAGTCTAATTGTGGATATATTATAGTAAAGAGGGGGAGAGGATCAAGGTTTGAAAGGCCTGAGTCAGGTAAGGTTTACACTGAATATGGTATGCTAGGAGAAGCCTTCCTTGGAAGATTTGAACTATAGAATAACAATGTGAACATGATGGCTTTGGAAGTCTGTTCCCCCAGCATGGTGCAAGATGCATTGGGTTATAGAAAATTATCAACTCTATTGTAATCACCCATATGAAAAACAGAGATAGTTGGGAAAGTTTCTGTATTATATACCCGGGAAACAATCAAGTCATGGAATAATTTAAGCCTCCAAAATAAACATTCAAAACAACCACATCATCGTTACTTAAAACAATGAGTAGTTGTTTTACAACTGACGTTGTACCTATTACAACTTCAGTTTAGTAATGAAGAAAATCTCGTATAGATACTAAGTGGCAATATAATTTTCTGATAATCTATTTGAATATTAGCAACTCTATTTAGAGCATATTTTAATACCAAAAGCAAAATTGTTTGAGGCAGTAAAAGAAAGGGATGGGACATATTTTGGCTCCACTGTAACATAAGAAAAATGAATTCAATATTGTTAAATTTAAAAATTAAGGATGAATAAATACTCTCTCTTTATAGTTAATTTCAGTAGCATTGTTTCATTTTATATAAGTTTCAGAGAGGCTTTATCTCAAACCCACTAGAGAAAGAATTCTCTACTACATAATACCCAGGGGACAAAATGGAAATTAGAATTAGATCACTATTATCCATCTAAGAGATATCCTCTCTGGTTTTCCTTCCTCTATATTTCCTTCCTTCCAGATCCCCAGGGTAGAGTTATGGATCAGAAATTGGTTTATCTAGACTTAAAGCAATTGCTTCTGCCTTTGGATATGCAAGTAGAGGGTAAAAAAAGCTATTAAGACCATTATAACACTAACAGCTTAGCAATCAAGTATATCTTTATATTTTTTATTGTAATTATTGTGCTAAAATCTTGTCTCAAAATCCAAAATGGGTTTGTGCCTGAAAGCACAGTTCTGAAAAGAACAAATAAGCACATATTATAAATTTAGTAACAGATTAATACTGTTTGTAGTACAGTAAAGAGTCTTAGTATTAGGGTTCAGCTTTACAAGGGTTGTTATACTTTAATTATGTGATAGCTAATATTCGATTTTTAAGCTGTGCATTTGATTTTGAACCATATTTAGTATTTATGTGTCCCAAAATGGATTTTCTTTTCTTTCTGCACAGTGAGTAGCAACCAAAACTCTACAAGACTTTATCTGTCAAACACCCTCCTCATTGTCATTTGGTTTTATAATAACTTACAGACAATGGGAAATTTTCATGTATGCCTATCAATATAAAGATTCTAAGTAAAATATCATCAGTGCATTAAATGTATTAAATGTATTTGAGTGTGTTGACATGCACAGCAGCTGGCTGTGTCTGTGTGTATTACATCAGGACTGAGTGGCATTTAACGCTTTAAGATCAGGCAAAAAAAAAAAAAAAAAAAAAAAAAACCAAGGATATTCCATAACACCATTGCTGTTTTTCCTAATTCTTAAAGTTGAGAACAGTTCTATAAGAACAAAATTTTAAATAGATATAACTAATGAGTTACCGTAAACAAATTCAAGACGTACAGATCAACAGCATTGATCTACATCATCAATAAACAACTATAAAATGTGATTTTTTTAAAGAGAGATTTTTGCTATAGGGCGCATGCGTTCATGAGACAGACAGAGAGGCAAAAAGTGAGAAATCTCCCTCCAGGGGTAATGGTCAGGCCACAGGCTCTTCTCCGTTCTTCTCTCAAGATTTTGCACACACACATACACCCATGTGGTGTGAGTTTGAAATGACTGGTCCAGGACTCATACTGTAGTCAACTATATGGGAGTCCAGTGACATGACTATTACACTATTTGCTGGTCCCCTAAAATAAGATTTTTTAAATGTTATAGTTGCATCAGAGTTTAAGAAGTATTTGGGAATAAACCTAGCCAAGAACAGCAATAATGAAAGTTTTATGGAAAACAGTGTTAATTTTTAACTCTAGTAAAGGAAACAGAAAATGATCTATATAAATAAAGATGTATTTGGAGACTTTGGATGGAAAAACCTAATATTAGTATTCCCAAATTAATTTATAAATTGATTGAACTCACAATTAAATTATTTTGATATATCTATTTGCCTACTATGAAAGTTATAGGGAAGAAGAAAGGCCCATAAATAGCCTAGTAAATCCTGAGGAAAGGGAAATAAATAAATTTTGTCAGATATTGAGATATGAAAGAAATAAAGACAAATAACAATAGAAATAGAAAGAGTACAGAAAGCTGGACACATACATATTATCTAGATAAACACAAGACAGACAGATACATGGGAGAAAAAGTGAAATAAAAGAAAGAAGGGATTCAAGAGAGGACAGACAGGTGAATCTTGAATTTTTTTTGTGGGGGGGAGAGATTTTCACTATAGGGCGCGTGCGCTCGCCAGACAGTCTTTCATTTCCCTCTTTCTCATTTCAGGCCCTGGAAAGTGAATTTGTTTCTTGCCAACTTCACCAGTGGATCGACCTTATATTTGGCTATAAGCAGCGAGGGCCAGAAGCTGTCCGTGCTTTGAACGTTTTTCACTACTTGACCTATGAAGGCTCTGTGAACCTGGACAGTATCACTGATCCTGTGCTCAGGGAGGTAGGTAGTTAAGTCTGGTATTGTTTCAAAGATTTCTGTCATCTCTCAAACACAGATTTGACTTTGTATCTCTTTCTATATAAATTTCCTATCAATATAACTTTTTTATAAAATATAAATTTCAGGTTCTTGACAAACGTGAAAAATTATTATATGTTGAAAATTAAGTAATGAGGCCAGCATATTGTTCTTTTACAGTTGCAGATATTTCAGTGCATTTCCACATTCCTATTTGGTTTTACATAAGAATCTAGAGTAAATGCTTAATGCATTATATGTGTTATTAATGAAGTCCAGTTGAATATTAAATGATTAATAGTTCACCGTAAAATAATCTGCCAAGGTAGGGTTCTTTTAAAAAGAAAAAATAATACTTACAACCTCCAGACAGAATACTAAAAATAATACACCAATGCAGTTATAGTATTTATTCTCATAGGTTCTCAACCTGAAATGTTTATAGCTAATAGTTGGGAATTATGTACCATAATATGTGTATAAGTATTTTTAGTGAAAATATGCACATAAAATATTTAAATCATTTCCACGTTGCACAAAATGATTTCAGA